AGACATGGCAGTGGTATGTGGAGATGCAGAATAGGTCTCTGAACACTGTAAACACACCCTCAGCTTCCTAGGTGTAAAGTTCTTCTGCTCCTGTAATTCAAAGGAATGTAAGCTCTGGAGTGGGGATAGAGAACGTCTGCTCAGAAAACTACAGGAGCTCTTGGAGAGCATAAAACTGAACCAACAGCCAAGCCTTAATCTCCAGTTTTGATCAGTGAGAGGAGAAATAGCAACAACGGTGGGAAGGAGGCCTCTGAGCCTTTGTTCCAGCCTTGGCAAACTTAGGCTATTTCTGGTGCGCTAGGAAGACTGACAGGGGTTGATTTGGTCCATAACCATTATTCAGAGGATTGATCTCGTTGTTCCTGTTGTAAAATAATGAAGTTAGTGGTAGAATAATAACTTGCAGGCACAATGCTTTTATGTTCTGGAGGTTAATTTTGGAGTTTTCAATAAAAGATTAATACTGTCTTACTATCCAAACTTATTTCTAGCTTCTCCCTCCGTGTCTTATGGAAAACTCTCCTATTTTATATAGCGGTATAGCTGTGTAATGATCTGTGTTTTTCAGTGTGTGGCACTCTGATGCCTTTTGAAGCTGTAATAATTGTAACGTCTCAAAAGGAAGGCAAATATAATGATGGGATATAGTACCTTAACGAGTAAACTTACATTCCTTATTGAAAGATCTAAACATCTTTAAATGCTGTTGAAAATTTTGATTTTCTTTCTTTCTTTTATTCCCTCCCCTCTTTGTACCATTAGTCAGAACAGAAATGGAAGCAACTTGCTGAGCTTGCCATTAGTAAATGCCAGTTTGGTTTAGCCCAGGAATGTCTCCACCATGCACAAGACTATGGAGGTCTATTGCTCTTGGCTACAGCTTCAGGAAATGCTAATATGGTGAATAAGTTAGCTGAAGGAGCAGAAAAGGATGGCAAGAACAACGTAGCGTTTATGAGCTACTTCTTGCAGGGAAAGTAAGTATCAGGCAAGAGATTGTGAATGTTCTCATTCTGTTTTCTGAAATGTGAAAGACCTCAGGTTTTTCAAATTAACTACACCACACCAAAACTTAAAACTTCATAGAGAAAGATAGTGGCACGTATCTTTTCGGAAAAGCTTGTTGTGTTTTATGATGGCTACTTCTTTTTAAACCTGAAAGTAGCTTAGTAATGTCATGGAATAAACAGCTTATCTAATGCCAAGTCTGTCTTTATTAAACATACTCATTAAAATCACGTTCTAAAATCTTTTAGGCTTGATTCATGTTTGGAACTGCTGATTAAAACTGGGCGTCTCCCAGAAGCTGCTTTTCTTGCACGGACATATTTGCCAAGCCAGGTTTCAAGGTAACTTTTCAAAGCATATGCAAAGTAAGAGTATTACTGTCCAAATTAGCTGTATGCAGCAAAGTATCATTTGCATCTCCAGGGTTGTTAAACTGTGGCGGGAGAATCTTTCTAAAGTCAATCAAAAAGCTGCTGAATCCCTTGCTGATCCTACAGAATATGAGAATCTTTTCCCTGGCCTAAAGGAAGCTTTTGTTGTTGAAGAATATGTCAAACAAAGTCTTGCTGACTTGCGGCCAGCCAGGGAATATCCCCTTGTCACTGTAAGTAAACAGTGGGAGTTCGTTGGGTGGTGTTTTTTTTTTTTTTTCTTCTAGAGAAGAAAAACCTTTAGTGATACGTAGATTCAGATTTAAATGATTCAGTGAAATCTCTTAAACATTCCATAACCATGTTTTTGCTTTTAGCCAAATGAAGAAAGAAATTTACTTGAAGAAGCAAAAGGTTTCAAGCCTTCTGGAGTAATGGCATCTCAGGTCAGTGTTACTACTAACGAATGAAGTTTAAGAAAGAAGCAACTCCACTATCATACAATAACATCTACCCTGGATAATATTTCACCAATAACAGACAAACTGTTGTTGGCTTTGTTACAAGTATTGTGAGAACTGCTGCTGAGTTCCATGTTCTTTTGCCTCAGACTTCTGAATCTGTTTTCATAACTACTAACTTCTTGACTAAGAAATAATTTCTTTCTTGTGGTGACTTAACTTGGATCATCTTTTGTTAGAACAGAGGACAGTCACTATTGAAGTGCATGTGACTAATCACCAACTTATTATTTTTCTGCAGGATGAATTACACATACAAACATTTTCTGCCTTAACTGCTTCCAGCATTCTAAAAGTTCAGGAGCTGGAACCTGGAAACTTGCATATCACAGCAATTAAAAACACTTCATATTCTTAGCTTGGACGAACATTTAAGGAAAAAGACTATTCCATAACTAATTGACTAGGAATCCTCCTCCATTATTTGAAAATACTTCCTAATCAATATTCTAAGTAACTCAAACTGAGCTCTGTGACCACCTCTGTTACTTTCAAGTGGTTTAGTGACTTCTTATGTGTTAAAGCAAACGTCATTTAAGCAAAATCAAACCTGCGTGCACATCTGTTGAAGAGGATACAGAAGTAGCACTGTAGGAGAAACGTATTGAATTGGAATTAATCTTTGCATTCAGTTCATGATTGTATAGGAGATCCTCAAACTGCAGCCCTCTTTTACAACTGAGGTTGAATATGCAAAGTTTGTAGTGAGGAGACAGTTATGTAAATAAAATAAGATAAACATGAATGACAGAATAATACTAGTGCCTCAATAATGGCATTAACTGATTATCTTAGCCTAAGACTTGTATAGCAGTAAAGAAAGAAGGATGAACATTAACCATTATATGATAGGGAACACAAAGCCCAGCAACTGTGCTAAGGACCATCACCTGTGTTAAGAATATAATCAAGTTGGTGTAGCCTCTGACCTGCAAGTCTGCATTTTTTCCTGGAGTAGCAGTGTCTTAAATTGAGCTTTAGCTTTGAAACTATCACCACATTCACAGTGAATGGCAAAAGCTTCCAGAATAGTTTAGCCCTGCCTTCAATTGGTTGTAGACTACTTTGGGCAGAATTCACACTTATGCAGAAACATTGGACTAGTTCTCCTCCCAATATTAAGCATCTGCTAGGCCACTTAACTTACTCCTGAGACTGTACTGCTCACCTAAGTAACCTCTTCAAAGTTACTTGGCAGTAAAAATAGAAAGTTGCAATGGTCAATAATTGTTTTGCTATTTTAGCCTTGTGTCTGAAAAGAGGATTGTTCTTGGCTAAATTCTTTGTGACAAATCTAGAGGAACCTAATCTCCTTTGGGTTGAAGACCCTGAAAATCACTGTTTTCTCACAGCACTTGTCTTTGAACTTAACTGATGTTCATTAAAGGTTGGTTGTGTTCAATATCATGAACTGCTTTCTATAATTGGAGGTAAACAAAGCAGGGGCATGAGGGGAAGAGGGAAGCTCCAGTAGAACAAGCAGGACTGGAACTCTAGTAGCTGTGGAAGCATGGTTCAAGAGTTACTTAGGGAAGCTGTGGAAGAGAACCGCAGTGACTTAGGGGAAGATATGGGTCTGCTGTCTGTCTACTTGCCTTTGTAAGAATTTAAATTCAAAAGAAATTACTTAAAGAATGTCATTTTCATTAGAAGCAGGCTGAAGAACCAGTTCTGTCTCTTAAACCAGAAGCGATGAATTCAGTTTCACAGAATTCTGATCTACTTTCAACAAAAGAACAAAAGGTACTTAAATATGAAGGGAAGGAATGCTGAAGTACACCACTGAATTCTTTTTAGGCTATAGACTAAACTAACAATTTGATTCTAGACCACCAGCTTCTAGAGGGTGTCACTTTGTCTCAATACCAACTGGACTGGTTAGCGCAGTTATAGCAAGTAGATTCCTCCTTGTTATACACAGTGATAAAGCCCAGCTCCTACAGCCTTCTGAGCTTAGAGGGGGGGAAAAGTGTAGAGTCAAAAAAACCAGTTGGTCAGTACATGTTTAAAAAGTTGTAACTCTGAAAGCTCTTTGGGGTTGGGGGAGAAGGGTTTTTGTTTTTACACTAGTTCATACCAAGAACATAGCTTCTCTCTGCAGCTTATTTGAATACTTATGTCCTAGTTGACTGTATAAGCTCGGTGCTTGGCAAAATGTGTTATTCATCCAGAAGCAAGTTCCAGTCATCACAAGTACTGGCTAACATGTAACCATATTAGTATCTCTGTAATCTTGTCTTTCCTTTTCCTAGACACTTCTGGACTTGGAAGATGACTTAGATAACTTGGATCTTGAGGATATTGATACCACAGATATCAATTTGGATGAAGAGATCTTAGATGAGTGAACTGAATTTTTTTTAGATGACCAAATCCTTTACTCCAAATAAAGGAATGAAGTTCTATGGACAAATGTTCTAAGTTAGCTTGATTATTATTTTTTTTTTTAAACTGAAGGTGGACCATGTAACATGTAGGGAGAAAGGCAGACCCAGCAACTGTATCAATAAAATCGGTCTGTGTTGAAATTCACTATGCATATGAAGAACTGTTTTTCATTTATCAAGAAACTAATAAACCATTTTAAACAGTCCTGTGGTTTCTGTGACTTGTAATTCTAGTATTTAAGATCATTTAACCTAGCTTCATCAATAGTGTCTATAACTAACCTTAGGAGTGATCATGGTAGCCAAGCGTTAGTATTTAAAATGATTCTTTTTATTATTCATGCCTCTATGTTGCACTTACCTGTCCAGTTACTGCTCAGCTGTATCACTTAGCTTGCATCCATGGAGAAGCAGGATCCCATTTATTGTTTTAGGCTGTTAGCCACCACTAACACTTCACCCTTTTAGCTAAATTTCCAAATAACAGAACAATCTGAGGGCTCAGTTAACACTTTCCCAAATCAATCTCTCTAGAATATACACTTACTCAAGAAGTAAAATGAAGTGTAGGCACTGTAAAGGAATTAAACTCAGGGCCTACTGTCCCTTCAAAGCAAGAAGGAAAAACAGCTGCCAGTTCATTTACAATATTTTTTAAAAACAACAACAATTTATACTGACTATATTCTTGTACAATTTTTCCAGAACACTAACAGTTGTCAAAAGTTTTTATTTTAGAATCCTGTACAGAGAATGTTTATAAACAGATGTAAGACTTAAGTTTACTTCATGAAGCTGTAGAAGTAGCCAGTGCTTCTTGGTAAGCATGAAGGGACAGCTGTATATAGCCTTCTCTCTGTGATTCAGTTTTCGCAAATACCTATAAACATGGTACAACAGGAATTACTGTACAATAAATAGCACACTTGCTTATACAATGAGATTACCATACCCATGTTACATCACTTGGCTACAGCTGACATATTGTCACTGTAGGTAGAAAAAAATGAACATAAACACTTTACTTGAATACGTGCTTTTTAAAGTAAGACAGTTCTAAGGCTATTAACTAGGTTCTTGCTGTTGGAGGCCTTTCCCTTCTATAGGTAATTAAGCTTACCATAGAAAAGCATACCTTGATCAGGTCCACTCCATTAAGTTTTCCTTCTTTAGCTTCTTTTGCTGATTGACACTCAGGATGAAGCATATGATACAGTGTGATTAAACTTGTAGCATCATCCAACCTAAACAAAAAAAAACTCATTTGTAGCAGTTACTTTGTAAATACTTTCAAACAGTTTGCTTGCACACTAACAAGCTTTCAGATGTTTCTGCTCTCACTGACTGTGCAGTCAGTAGAAATAGATATCTACACGGGCACCCCCTAATCTACTGCAATGGCAATCTGTCCTTGAGGAGGACCAGAATTGCATGAACACCAGGATATATCACATAAGGTACAGAAACCAATCCATGCTGTACTTTAAGCCTCATCTACTGTTCAGCTCTAATTAAGTTGTAATCTATCTATCTAAAATACAATGAATTACCCAATAATAACTAATGGAACAGCCATGCCAACAATTAGTTTTCCAATACTGACTGCAGTGATCAGTGTATTTGACAAAACTAGTATTGAAGTCTTGTGACACCTAGCCTAAGCTTCAATTAAACTGGAATAAGTGTTGTGTTTACATAAAGCTAAACATATAGTGGAAGTAGGTATGTGGCAGGAGAAGACGCTCCAAACTCCAGTAACTTAAATGGTCCAAGTATTTGGATTTTCCCTTTAATAATTGGATCCCCAAACCAAAACTGGAACTTCCCTGTATGTCTTCATATCCTCAGAACTGGAGGTAAGATCTGATTGATTAACCATTAAAGGTTGGCAAAATCAACAGAAGGAATAAATGCTAACATCACTGCAACTCTGAGTTCCAATTTTATACATTTGTCCTAATTCAACTGCAATTTTGAAAAATTAAATATTATTTGCCTGAGTGAATTTTCAATGCATTTAACAACTTTTCTTACGGAAATCCGTCTTGGATTTAAAATAAAATAAAAGTATAACAATCAGTTCCCATTGTTTAATCTACCTGCTACAGTCATGTGAAAAAAGCAGACTTAGTTTTAGAGCAATTTTTAAGAGCATGTGAATCTTAAAAGCTAAAAATCAAGATCAGTAGTATGAAACTGTGAGGCTTTAAAATCAGTGGTGCCCAGAGCTGGGAGTGCACTGTCAATTACAGGGCAGAAAACAAACAAACAACAACAACAAAAAAAACAGGAACCAGAACTACTAACTTCTGCAGAAACCTAGTTTGATGCTACTGTCGCTGGTGCTTCCATTCTGGATCTCTTTACATATAAGAATTACTGCTAGCGAATAGTTTTGTGCAAGTGAAAACTTTTGCATCTTACAAAAACACTATTTTTCTTCTCAAACAATGGAACTTGTTCTTTTTTAGTATTAATTATGGTTATCCAAACAAATAACTGACAAACAACACTTACAAGTCTCTGTGGATCATATCTATTAGTAAGCCGTCCGTTTTCTTTCTGTTTACTAGATACCATACCATTCCTCCAAAGTGTCTTGTTGAACGGAGCAGCTCGTATTTAGCATGTTTCTCAATGTCATCGTATGTCCGATGATGAACCTATACACAGAAAGGTTTCCATGTCAATAGCATGATTAGAGCTTGTTGACAGTTTCTCCCCTCAAATCCTCACTTGTTTTTAAGATTTTAATCCAATCCATTTTCAAATCTCCCTGAACTGCAGGAATAAGCCACAGGCTGAACCATGGTGCTTCAAAACTTTATAGATCTAATTCTGGACAACACCAGGATAACCAGTTCTTTGTACCCAGATATATACATTTGCATGTTAAGAGGAAGCTAAACAGCTATGTACTGACAGTCTAGGGAGGGCAGGAGCATAACCTTTGAACCCTCATTCCACTGACCTCAATTCATAATCTATTCTTTAAGAGGAAAGAAAAATTAGAGCAAAGAGGAGAAACGTTACTTTGAAAAAGCTACTTGAGACATTGCCCATTAGTAACTATGCTCCTAATAAGTGATTTACAACTTTATTGCAGCCTAAATGCAAGCAATGAAAATTTTACAGGCAACAGTAGATTAACATATTCACCAGTAACTACAGTTACTAAAATTAACTATTTCAGCTGCAGGTATATTTTTATACCTAGCCTTTAGCACAAATAGTAGTTTATTTTGTATATGATGTTCTCAGATGCACTTCGTCACTTATATATTCAATCCTTTCAAATACTGATATAGTAGTTCACATGAGAGAAGTAACAGCTCTGGTCGCAGTCAGTTATGGGCATTATCGTTAATTTTGTTTTGATACCAGTAATATCTGTGTAAACACTATTTAATGCATCTACAGTTCTTTTTATACTGTTACAAATATGATTTAAACAGGACCCTGTTTTACTTCTCTGCAAGAACGCAAAAAGCTCATCACAAGGATGACACATAATCCATAGGGAAGAAAAAGCATGTCTGAACAGCAACTATGATCCTCAGATAATACTTACACTTACAAAATAAACCCTGAAGTTCTTCACTAATACTGGATTTTTTAATTAGGAAAAAAGCAAGTGAACTCACTCTGATATAGTCAGCTGAATCTGGCTCAAACTGCGCAATGCACATGTTAAGGATATCCTCATGACGGTCTTGCTGAAACACAGTCTAAAACGACAGTTCAAATTCAGTAATACATTCAGTATTGCACCATTCCAGTTATCTAAAATTTAGATGGTAGCCAGAACATTTCTGTTCTTTTAAAAAAAAAAAAAAAGTAAAAAAAGTATCCGCTTAGTCTCACGACAAACTGGCAAAAAGCACAATAACTGTCTTGATAACATGAATGTGCTTCTCAGTTTTTGTTTCTACAACACCAGTTTGTGTTTTCAGTTGAAGCATACAATTTCATCAATGGATAACAATTAAAAGTGGGTTCATAGTATGGAAAAAAAAATTTTTTTTTTTAAAAAACACCAACCCAGGGTTTATCTGGTCTAGTTTATCTGGCACTTTATTGAAGTAAATTATATTGATGAGCAACTGTTCAAAACAGAATTCAAGCAGGTTAAAACATACAGACAGGCTTATTAAGAGCTACTACTCTGTCCAGACAACAGTGTTTCTCTGTTAGAGCAAAACTAAGTAAATACAAATAATTAGTTTTCAAAACCAGGAAAACCTTACCACGAGGTGTTCATCCTTGAATATGACTGGGGGAATGACTCTGCGCCCTTCTTTTGGGAAGAATATCTGTATCATTCTGTCTCGTTCCTCCCAGGATGCTTTGCGTAATACACCACTTGGTTCTCTAACCACAATGAAACGCTCCTGAAAGTAAGAAAAGCAGTAAGTTATCTCCTCTAGTCTTCTCTTCACATCAGACCCAATGTCTTGGTTGGGAAAGTCCTACCATACCTGAACTCATCTGAAACTCAAGAGTTTATTTCTGGCAATTAGTATATGCTGAATCCATTTTTCTCCCTTTGTCTCTGCTAGTTAAGCACTACGTTTGCACCTTAATCTTAGCACATAGACATAACTGTGCATGTGCTTACACTAAAGGCAAGCTACAGCTCTGCAAAATTTACAGAGATGAAACATCACTAATAGCCAGAGAATGGAGCAAGTGCTGCTGCTGGCCTGATTTTACTCATTTAATAATGTACACAAAGTTAAGAACGCAAGCGTAACGCAAGTACTTTTTAAATCTTGTTCCAGAGGTAGGAGCAACAATCAAGTAAGAGCAAATGCAAAGCCCATGCTTTCAGCAAGGGCAAAACAAAGCATAGCTAAAACCGATACAACGCATTCAGATCTGTTCACAAGTGTACTTGATTTAGGGCTACAGACAGCCAGGAGTTCATTGGGATAAGGAAGTTTTCAATACACTGAGGCAGAAAAATAAGTATCAGGTTCCTTGGGAGAGTTCTCAAATAATAGAGGGAAGACTTAGCAATTCTTTTTCCAAGATCATCAATATTATGCATGTTTGGACCACGCAGATTTCTTCAAATCGCGATGATACATAGAAAATCTTTCTGGCCTCTTACTGCTGTTTAAGACAATCCAGAAGTTCCATTACATAAGCCAGATCAAAGGTAATCTAATTGTTTTCTCCATCCCTACATGCTACAACTCTGTTTGAGGACTCCTCTTCACAGCTTTCTCATAAATTATTATCACTTACTTGACTTTTCACCACATCTTTGCAATTTTAAAGTAGTTCAAGCTTTTGGTCTATGCACAGCATTAGACAATTCAATCCCACACCAAGCTTCCAGGATGTATGGGTGAACTCAGCATTCCCAACAAGCAGCTTAGCTGTGATTCTGTAAGTCATACGCACCCCTTTCCAAATAATTAACCATCACACAGCTCCCTTTCCCTCCCCAATCCCCAAAATGCCTGCTTTGGAGCACTGGAATGTAATTTATCACTATCTCTTAGAATATTTTGAAATATGTGTTTCTATATTGCCTTGTGCCAAGAATTTAAGTTACAGCTCCTCAGATTTTTCACACATCACTGTATTTTATTAAAAACTAAAGCTTATTTTTAAATTACAAATGACCAAACCAAAACCAAACTCTTAAAAAGAGCCAAACTCTTAAAATTTCTTTATATATTCAGTTACTCACACGATGTGGAATGGAGTAAGTTAAATCAGTAAACACATATTTTGCGGTTTCAGTTCCTTCAAGGATTTTGTCTTCTGCTAATACATCCTCAATCGGCTCTCGTTCATTCAAAACGGGAGGCATTCTTAATTTTTCTTTAGCTTCCTCAGTAGCTTTTCTTGTGGCCTAATAGCAATAGTAGTTTAATTAATTTTTACAATAAGGAAAATTCTATTGGAAAGCTAACATTCAATTTTTGGCCAAATATTCCAGTTTAGAGGGAAATAAATCTTTTTTTCCTGCAGTTTAGAAAAAGTAAGACACTAATTCAATATCTATGTGGATAAATCACATAAAAACCAACATACACCATTTACCAATAACTCAGACACGCTGCTGGAAGGAAGAACAAAACAAAAATCCACATGTACTACTGAAAACACTAACTTCATTTCAGCCAGGCTCCATGGTAGATTTCCACCAAAACATAAAGTAAACCGCTACCATCAGTTTACCCATAGCTGTGATTGTGCTCACCAGAGAACTGCCTCCAGTTGGACACCTCTGTGGTCCTGGAGCAGGGCTAGACTATAGAAAAAAGGCAAAGGACTCCCAAGACTACATTTAAACGTCTGAAAAATACACATGCTACCAATAGGAGGTGGAAAGAAAGGCGGGTGAGAAGGAAATCTGTCACTAAAGAAAAAAAGCAAAGAAGCCCTGTATCCAGTCTTCTCCCACACACCACAAAGCCAATAGAAAAAAAAAAGAGAAAGAAAAAAAGTCATGTTCATGTAAAGCGAAGAAATACTAATTTACAATATGTGCTGGAATAAGTCGGAGACTGTATTGTTTTCAGCTGCAGCATTACAGCAGCATGGACTGTTGCAAGCTTTTCGCTAAAAACGACACACGCTTCACACTGAAGCGCAGCCGCCTACCTCCTCCAGCTGAGCTTCCGTCATGAGCTTGTACGTGGGCGGTTTCAGCTCCTTTTTAACCGGTCTAAACACCTTCTGCAAGTTCAGTCCTGTCATTTTGTAGAGCAAATTCTGAACTGCCTCATCGGTAAAGGCAGGCTTGGGGCCTCCGTCTCCTGCAAGAGGATTTTGTGGGCGGTGAACCCGGCAAGCCA